CATCGAGAGTCACCTGTACTAGATGATATACCGGTAATAAGTTTTTTTGGTGCATCGACGGATACTTAATGGAATTTATTTTGTTAGAAATCAATGGAATAAATTTTTAATTCTTTATTGTTTATTACTTTTCTCTCGGTAAAATAATTTTTAAAAATACGAAAATGGCACAGATTTGCTTTAAAATTGACGTAAATTTTACCGATTTGGGGACATTTTTCGTAAATTTGAGTCTTAGATAGGTCAATTCGTTAAATAGGACGACCCCAGCGGTTCTGAGAAAAAAGTATCGTCTTATCTTCCAAAACTTACGGTACCTTTGGAAAATAAGCTTTTAACACCCAATGAATAGGTAGAGTATTTGATACAAAAGACTGTTTTCAGAAAAAAAAAATGAAATGTATTGATTAAAGCACAAAATTTTACATCTGTAATTGTTTTTGAACAACACCTTATTCATTAATTTTCTCTTTACATGTAAGCAAGTTTATTACGAAGTACAAATTAACTTCGGGTTCATTGCCACGATGCTCTCGGTAAGGAATATATACAAATTTTACCTTTTGACTTCTCTATGTGGAGAGGGCTTATATAGGCTATGCCTGCTGCCCAATCCATTTATGATTCTACGTAATAAAATATGTTAAATTAAAAAAAATAAAAATTTTACTGATAAATTTATTAGGAAAACATACTACATACATGTATATATTTGTAATAGTTTTTCAATATGTAAATATATTCACGACTTCTAGTTTTATTAATGATTTACCATTATTTCAATGACCAATCACACAAAAGCTTTTTTTTATGTTGTGCAGCTATAAGCGCCTCGTTTTTTAAACATCGGGCTCGATGCTATATGATGTTCTAGAAGCTTCCGTCAATATTAAGATCGGTGAATGACAAAAATAATTTGCACATTTCCCTTTTTAATTGGTTTTACAACTTATTTCTTTTATATCATTTAAATCAAGTTTTGATTGAATAATTCAGTCATGACGTTTTATGAAATAATAAACAATTGTTTGTAGTCAGTTTCATTAAAAATTGCCAGTAACTTAGATCCGCCAACCGGAAACGCCACCGTATTCACGTTTTTGCTATTTCATGGCTGTTTATAGAAAATAAAAGTAGACTTTTAATTTAATGTACGATACTTACTATGAGAGTGAAATCTAAATATAGTGTACGGACATCATCTTGTATCTAGTGTGTTGTTACAGGAGTAAGAAAGAACTCTGGTGCAACTCCGGTATTTAATGTGTTAATACTTTCAAGCTTTCAGAAGTTTGTTCATCTGCATTAACATATGCTGTATTGTAAAATACAGGGTTAACTGTTCAAATCATGATTCTGGGTTTTATATTAATATATTGAGATTTTCTTTATAACAATATTTTCCATTTTTGATTTGTTGGTACATGATTTTTTTCAGTACTTTGAGCATAGTGAGGTTCTCATTATAAACTTTTTCCTTTGGTTGTCTTGTATTCATGATGATGATGAATATTTTGATAAAAAAAATTCCTTAGATTTCCCCCATTTCTCATAAGGGTTTAATAGTCTACTTAAGTTTTTGTGTTGCGGTTATCATATTTTAAGCTCTACACTGTATATATGGCAATTTTTATCAAATAATTGAAAAAAAAAAATCAGACACTTTTTCCAATTTTATTCTTATTTTTTTAGTCGACTGTGTAAAGTATGGAATTTTATTTTTATTTATCCCCCCCCCCCCCCTTGGACCCAATTTTTCAAAAAAATTTCCAACAAGTCATTTAATAAAAAAATGTTGGCCTAATATAAGCCATGTACACATTCAATAAAATATTGATGTTAATTTTTTTAAATGATTTTTTTATGAATTTAAATTAAATTCAAAGTTAAAATCAAACAAAACTGTTGTTGTTACTTAGTTTGATTATTTAATGTATTTTTTAGCATTCTAATTTACTATAAATGATTTTTCCCAATTTGAGGAAAATGTTGCTAACTTTTCCTAATTCAAAAGGACGGGGTGGTGGTTTAAAAAACAAAAAAATCATTGAATATATGTAACATGATATCAAAAGTGAAATGGGAGCCATTTCACTGGTGATAGGGCCACAAAAGGGAATCAAAGTTTTACATTAAAATATATAGGAAAAATGTTTATAAATCTTCTTCTCATTGGACTAGGAAGCTGAAATATATGTGGAAGCTTCCTGAGTTAGTATAGATTTTAATGCCCTGTTCACATGGAGAATTTAATGCAAATTGGTTTAATTCGAACTAGTTTACTGTGCATTAAATTACTTCACATTACCTCTGTGTCAACGCTAAGCGAAGCTAATTGTAATTAAATTCTAATGCATGCATAATGTAGGGGTGAAACGATACACCTCCTTCACGGTTCGATACGTATTGTATAATGTCTCGGTTCGGTTATTTTCGATACGATACATTTTGATAGAAGGAAACAAATTCAACGTTGTTTTATGCTTTCTTTTTCTAAATCTAGTCACATATTTTACGAATTTTATTTGCAAATTGACTAGAAGAAATTGATTAAAATTATTTGACTGTCAAAAATTATTTTACAAGCTATCAGTCATCAAAAATTTACGTTTTCTATACTTATTGATACTGAGTAACGTGTTTTTCCTTATGCCAAACCCGACTGAATAACGATCCAGACCGAAAAATGAACAGAACCGAAAATTAGAGATTTTGCACGGTGTATCAAACCGAGAAAAAATACCGCGGTGAACCGTTTCACCCCTAGCATAATGGCAGAATTAAGTTACATGCTACATATCTGATATGTGCTATTTTTGAGAGAAAAACAAAGGAAAATTATGTTAATCACTAAAATGTGTCACTACGATATTATGTCAAAATAATCTGCTCTGCATTTGTGACCTGATTTGCAAATGATGTCATGAAAGCCTTACTGAAAGCATTATTGTAGAAATGAAATTTTAATTCGCATTATTAGTTAACTTCGCATTAGCTGTCATGTGAACGCAATTTAATTTGCATAAGTTAAATTCACATTATTAGGGTCCCACAAGGATTTGCAGGTGTCAGTCCGTCTGCCATTCTTCCGTCCACAAATTTTCTTTTTTTTTTTTTTTTCTTTTCTAATAACTTTTTTTATAGTTGACCAATTAAATTCAAATTTGGTATGTTGATTGAATAGGCAGTAAGACATTTTTTGATGCTAAGTTTGGTTCTCTATGTCATCCAGTTTGGAACTGGGGTGGTGGGGTAGATTCGTTAACTTTACATTAGAATGAATGCCAGGGCAAAGAGGGATAACTGCTGAGAATGTTCCTATTGTAAAGTATGAAAGCTGCAACTAGTCCCGTGGGATTAATTAACTTTCCTCTTGAAGAAAATCCAAAGCATTATCTGTTTCTGTCATATTGAGATTAATTTACACCTCTGTCTGCAAATGAAGTTTGTTTTGAAGTTAAGGTCAATTCTGAATAATAATTACATTCTCTGAAATACGGATTTAAATAATGTTCATACTTTATTTTGGAAAAGTACACAATGAGTTATGATTTTATTGAATTCCAAAAGCAAGATATACATAAAGATATCTTTTTTTGTTTTTGTTTTTAATTTATTTATTTTATTTTATTTATTTATTTATTTATTTATTTTTTTTGCTGCCTTATGTAGATTCAAGAATACTATTAATTTTAACAGGTAGTTTGATAATAACCTCATTCTATCATTACTGAAAAGTTCTTATTGTAAACTTAGAAGATAAGGATGAGAGAGCAGTACAATTAATCCCCAGGGATTAATTATCTTGCCTGGTGCAGAAAATTTTAGAGGCGTATCTTTATTTGTCACTTTAAGATAAATTTATTTGTCACTTTAAGATAAATTAACACCTTTGTCTGCAACTGATGTTTGTTTTGAAGTTAAGGTCAAGCCTGGGTGATATTTGCATTCACTGAAGGCTGGCATTTTATTAAACACATGCTTTATTTTTGTTTAAATATACATTTAATTGAATTATTAAAGATATGTTTTTTGCTGCCTTATGTAAATACACGAATACTATTTACAGGTTATTGGATATTTAGGAATTGCATGCATCTTGAAATTTTATGAATACAGTTGTTGTTGCATATTCTTCTTCATATCTTTTTTAAATATTTGTAATCAATTAAAATTCTCATTCTGTAAGCTGCACCCTTATATTTCTATCCATCGGTGGGGCCCTTGCTGACTGGTCAGTTTTCTAGTCTTATTTCACATAAAATTACTGTGAATTAAACTCTTTGTGTGAACAGGGCATAAATTGTTCAAATCATGGCCCCCAGGGGTCAGTGGATCCATAATAGGTATTAAATAGTGAAAAATCCTTGAAATCCATTATAAATCATATTAATGTGGAAGTATCCTCTGGTAGTTTACATCAATTGTTCAAATCACAGAACCTGTGTGAAGGATGGGGTCAAAAAGGGCAATAAAAATTACAGAGGAATAAATGTATGTTTAGGAAAAATTTTGATGCAGAACAGCAGGGTCAAAGTGAACCACTGAGCATTGTAGCCCTTGGGCTTCTTGTTTTTTTTTTACCATGACCTTCCCAATAACCTTTGACTTTACTATTTATTGTGTATTGAACTCAGTTTTAAAGAAACTATTCAAGGTATATTCATCAAACTTCATACACTAATACAAATTTTCATGTTGCATTACTAATAAACCCTGGGTGGGGCATTCATGTCCTGTGGACATATTTGTTGTTATTTATATATTTCACTAGCCAAAATTTTTAATATTTTGTAATTTTTTATCATATGAAAAGTCTTTGAAACCCCCCAGGCTTTTGATGTTTTTGGTTGGGGGAGGAGAATTTAAAATGTAAACTTGCATAGGTTACTTTAATTTTGACATCATCATGGTGATTGATAATTTGATTGTAAAATATGATATGAATGTAGATCAGTGTAGCAGAAATTATTAATGGTGCAAAATGTACTGTTTTACAGGTTTCAACATTGCATACAGACGACAGAGAAAAAGTAAGATAGGTCCACAGCATAAGATTTCAAAAGAGGAAGCTATGAAATGGTTTCAACAGAAGGTATAATACTTTAAAAAGAGATTTAAATACAGAAAAGTGATTAAGTACATTGGAAAGGCAAGGTTTTCAGGAGAAAAAAGGTTTTTTACACGGGTTTTTTCACTTATAAAACTGTGATTGAGAGTGATCTCCTGTGTAGAATTTTTCCATGTGGTAAAAACCAATAAAGCGTATGTTACAGAGGTAAACAAAAGCATGTGTGCTTCCTTCAACAGTAGAATTATCTATACAGCAAGAAAGAAAAGTATTGATGACTTTCTTGTATATCGTGTTCAGGGGACAGAGAGCCAACAGATGCTATGCTGGGAAGGGCAAAGATAAGACATGCTTAAAGGTAGACCGGCTGAGAACAGTACTTAGGTGGTGTGAAGGAGGCACCATTTAGTATCTACAAATAAAAATTAAAAACAAATCCATACCAATATTTTAAGGACAATTTGTTTCTAATGAAGTAAATTACAAAATAGAAACAGTCAATTAGTCTATTGACCATTTATAGATGTTAAGGGAAGTAACTCTAAAATAAAGATCAGTGCTGCTATGTCTGTGTCTTGTTTAGAACTACATATAATTTTTTTCAGCTGAAATATCTAGATGTCTTAGGAAAAGAGGATACAATAATGTATATAATACATGAACAATATGAAATAAATGGGTTTAGGAGAAATCATGTGGTGAAAAATTATGTAGGTCCCTTTTATCAACATTTTGCATAGGAAATGCATTGAGAATTTTGTAAAATCATTCATTTGACGAAATATAAAAAAGTATGTTAGCTTGGTGGGTGAAACTAACCAGAATATAACCTGTTTAATACCATTAAACCTACTCCAGAGTTCTTGAAAAATTCTGTAAGATATCCAGGAACCTTGCATATGTCCTTAATTTAGGACGTTTGGAATAAAATTAGGCAGTATTTTGTAGTTTACTGAAGAAAGTTTTTCTAAAATGTAGAACTAGAAGTCATCTACAGGTAATTCTTGATGGCTGGAACTTCCATCTCTTTAAATTCTTGATTGCTCAAAGTGAGTCTTCTGTCCCTAATTTTAGCTCACCTGAGCTGAAAACTCAAACTCTAGGAAGTAGCCACAATAGAGAAACCAAGCTTTACATTGAAATATATAGAAATAAATCTTTAAAAATCCTCTTCTTAAGAACCACTGGGCCAGAAAAGCTTAAAATTATGTGGAAGCATACTGGGGTAGTGTAGATTCTAAATTGTTCAAATCAATGACCCCTGGGAGGTAGGGTGGGACCACATCAGAGAATCCAAGTTTTACATAGAAATATATAGTAAAAATGTGTAGAAATAATCTCTCAAGAACCACTGGGCCATAAAAGCTGAAACTTATATGGAAGCATCCTGGGGTAGTATAGATTCTCAGTTGTTCAAATCATGACCTGGGTGGGGGGATGGGGGGGGCACAATAGGGAATTCAAGTTTTACATTGAAATATATAGAAAAAAAATCTTTAAAAATCTTCTTTTCAAGACCCACCGGTCCAGAAAGGCTGAAGCTTATGTGGAAGCATCCTGGGATAATGTAGTTCTAAATTGTTCAAATCATGACCCCCGGGGGTGAAAGGGGGATGAACAAAAGAGAATCCAAGTTTTACATAGAATTCTGTAGGAAAAATGTTTAGAAATCTTCTCAAGAACCACTGGGCCAGCAAAGCTGAAATATGGAAGCATCCTGGGGTGGTATAGATTCTAAATTGTTCAAATCATGATCCATGGGGGTAGGGTGGAGCCACAATAGGGAATCCAATTTTTACATTGAAATATATAGAAAAAAATCTTGTTCTCAAGAACCACTGGTCCAGAAAAGCCGAAACTGATCACCCGTTGTCCGTCTGTCTGTTCGTCCGTCTGTAAACTTTTCATATTTTCAACTTCTCAAGAACCACTGAATCAATTTTAACCAAAGTTGGCACAAAGCATCCTTGGGTGAAGGGGAGTTTAAATTGTTAAAATGAAGGGCCTAATCCCATTACAAGGGGAGATAATGAAGAAAAGACAAAAACATTGTGGAGTCATTAAAAAATCTTAAGAACCACTAGGCCAAAAAAGCTGAAACTTATATGGAACCTCTACTGGGGTAGTGTAGATTCTAAATTGTTCAAATCATGACCCCCTGGGATGGGGTTGGGCCATAATAAAGAATCCAAGTTTTATATTGAAATACAGCTAAACTTCGAAATCTCGAACACGGATATCTCGAATACCCCGAATATGTCGAAGTAAGGCCACAGTCCCGATGAAATTTGCTTTATAATTGATTAAAATAAACCCCTCTATGACAAACATGGTAATGTAGAATACCCCAGTTATCTTGAAGTAAAATTGTGTACCCATTCATTAAAATCGTGTGTTAGCTCGAAGTCAAGATAATTTTCCGCTCTGATGATCAAGTCCGATAGGTAAACTGAATGTACTATTGATAACAACCACTGTTTGTCATGCACGAGTTACATGTGTTCCTGTGATCAACAGATAATAGCGCGATAATTATACGAGGTGTATGTATGGCTTACTTTGATTTTAATTAATTATGCAAGCCAAAGGTTATTTGTATTTAGTCTAATGCATAAGCGATGACACGTTAATTATTTTGTGGCTGGGGTACGTTTATCTTGATAACCGCTATTTAATGCTATGTGTAATATGCACGCTTACATAGTTTATGCATATGAAAGTGAAAACCATAAACATCAAAGTGAAACAAAATTCTGTAATGCAGTTAGAATTTATTTTTCCTATATGAGGGTGCAGAATTTACAATCGTCAGTACACACCATCATGTGAGCGTGTGTCGGAGTGAAAACTTGTGCTATAGTGCCCTGTGATTCTGTAGTTAGACAAACGTCACAAAAGGTTTCTTCTTTTGCATTTGATTTTATTATGGAAAAATAATTTTCTTTTAACTGATTATACATGTATGAACAGTATGAATTAAAAAAATGAATAATTCGTTTTCGTTATTCTAACAGAGACTGGTTTTTAATTTATGATGCATAGATGATATCTGGTTATGTATACTTGGGAAATGATGCTAGCGGTTGACTTGGGTTGGTAGAAGGATTATACTTCTGTGCATACTATACAATCTTTTTATTTTGTGAATTGTAAAGAGCTCTTGATGTAAAAATCTTTTTTGCTTAATACATGTACATGTATATTAAAGGTGCTTAGACACAGATTTGAACTTAATATTTTTTCAAATTTTCTGCATAATATCACGACCTACATATTGCAATAGCATTTCACATGAAAATATAGTTAAAAACTTATTTTATCTGGAAATTATTGGAGCTACGAATTCTGGGATGCGTTTGATTAACACATCTTTGCACTTACACAAATTTTAACTTTATCCTTAATATTTAAGAAAAGAAGCGATTTATTATGTATTAATGAAAAATATTACATCTATAATCCAGATAATTCAGAGTAGAAATGTGCGAAAGCAAAACCAACTCAACAGTATTGTCAGTCCGTGCTCTGTGATGTGTACAGAGTTTAACAAATTGAACACACCCGTGAAACGTAAACTGTTTTTGTAAACAGGGCATGAGCTCTGTTATTGTTAATGTTTGTGATTCACCGGGTGTGCTCAATTGTTAAACTCTGCACATACCTCTGAGCACGGACTTACAATACTGTGAGTGGGTTTTGCTTTCGAACATTTCTACTCTGAATTTTCTGGGTTATAGTTTTAATATTTTTGATTAATACACTACATTCTTTAGTATTAAGAATAAAATTAAAATATCTGAAAGCGCAAGGATGTGTCAATCCAACGTATCCAGAAATTTGAAGTTTTAATAACTTCGAGATGAAATAAGATTTTTATTATATTTTATATGTTATAGCAACATATATGTCATGAAATTATACAGAAAATTTGAGAAAATATTTACTTCAAATCTGTGTCCAAGCATCTTTAAAGAAATCATATACAGAATTTCAAAGAAGAAGGAATTGGATAGGTTTTTACTATTAAGTACATGTTCACTGCACGAAGTTTATTTGAAGTTCATTTGAATTAAAACCCCTTGATATGTCGAACCCCTGAATATATCAAAGTTCGTCATCGGTCCCAAATACTTCAAGATGACGAAGTTTAACTGTATTTAGGAAAAATCTTTAAAAATCTTTTTCTCAACTGCTTTTCCAGAAAAGCTGAAATTTATGTGGAATCATCCTAAGGTAGTGTTGATTCTAAATTGTTCAAATCATGACCCCTGGGGGTAGGGTGGGGCCACAATAGGGAATCCAAGTTTTACATTGAAATATATAGAAAAAAAATCTTCTTCTCAAGAACCTTTTGGCCAGAAAAGCTGAAACTTGTGTGGAAGCAGCTTGAAATTTATAGAAAAATGATCTTTAAAAATCTTCTTGACGAGAACCACTGGGCCAGAAAAGATGAAACTTGTGTGGAAGCTTTCTGAGGTAGTGCTCCTGGACATTATGCAAGCAAAATAAATGCATAGTTATGATGATGTAAGGTGCCTCTTCCAAAATTTTGAATTTCATGGCCCCAGTGTCAGGGGTTCTGGTATTAGGGCAGTGTTGAATATGTAGTGAAAATACATTATTTCTTTTAAAATATTCTCTGATCCAGGGCAAACAAACTGAATGCATAGTTATGTTATAGTTATAGTCTTCCTATATTGTGAATTTCATGGCCCTTGGTCAGGGGTTCTGGTTTTAGGGTGGGGCATTGATGATTACATAGTAAAAAAGCAATAATTCTTTTACAATCTTCTCCTTTTCTCCTGGGTATTAAGCCAATGAACTTAGAGTATAGTTATGATATGTAAGGTGCCTCTTCCAGGTTCTGGTGTTATGATGGGGCTCTGCTGAATATATGGTGAAATGCACTATTTCTTTAAAAATCTTTGATTCTGGGTGTTTAGCAAACTGAAGGCATAGTTATGATGAGTAAGGATGCCTCTTCCAAAACTTGTGAATTTCATGGCCCCTGGGTCAGGAGTTCTGGTGTTAGGGCAGGCTCTATTGATTTAATACATAGTAAAAATGTAGTAATTCTTTGAAAACTTCTCCTTTTCTCCTGGGTATTAAGCTGAGAAACTAAAGTATAGATATAATATGTAAAGGTGCCTTTTCCAAAATTGTGAATTTTATGGCCAGGTTCTGGTGTATGGCAGGGCTCTAATGATTACATAGTGAAAATACATTAATTCTTTGATTATCTTCTGCTCTCTCTGGGTATTAAGTAAGCTTACTAAATGTAAAGTTATGATGAGCAAGTGTGCCTCTTTTGAAATTGTGAATTTAATGGCCTCTGGTTTAAAATGTGAACCCAGTTTAATTGTGGCAAAGTTGTTGCATGATACTCAGGTGACCTATAAGGCCCATGGGCCTCTTGTTAGGCTCTAGCTTTGTTAATCAATTTTTAGCTGTACTGGTCAGAGACCAGAAGAGCTTATGTGATAGTTAGGTGTCAGGCGTCCATCCATCTGTCTGTCTGTCTGTAAACAATTTTTCAAAATGCTACTCCTCCTACAGTTTTGGTCTGATTTCAATATTACTTGGCACACAAGTAGACTACACTAAGATACATAATTTAGTGCATCTATTTTTGACTTTGATGATTCAAATTTTGAATTTAATGAAATGTGTTGCCATGGTTACTAAAAATAGAAATTTCTGTAAAATTCCTTTTGAAACGCTACTCCTCCTACAATTTTTTAGCTCTACTGGTCAGAGACCAGAAGAGCTTATGCGATAGTAAGGTGTCCCATGTCCGTCTGTCTAGCTGTCCATCTGTCTGTAAACAATTTTTCAAAACGCTACTCCTTATACAGTTTTGATCTGATTTCAATATAACTTGGCACACAAGTAGACTACACTATGATACATAATTTAGTGCATTGGTTTTTGATTTCAATGAACGATGTTGCCATGGTTACTAAAGATAGAAATTTCTGTGAAATTCCTTTAAAACGCAACTCCTCCTACAGTTTTGGTCTGATTACAATATAACTTGGCACACAAATAAACTGCACTAAGATACATAATTTAGTGCATCGGTTTTCTTTGAATGGTGTTGCCATGGTTACTGAAAATAGAAATTTCTTTGAAATTCCTTTAAAACGCTACTCCTCCTAGAGTTTTGGTCTGATTTCAGTATAACTGCACACTAAGATACATAATTTAGTGCATCAGTTTTTAGCTCACCTGAGTTGAATGCTCAAGTGAGCTTTTCTGATCACTTTTTGTCTGTCTGTCTGTCCATCCTTCTGTAAACTTTTCACATTTTCGACTTTTTCTTCAGAACCACTGGATAATTTCAACCAAACTTGCCACAAAGCATCCTTGGGTAAAGGGTGTTCAAGTTTGTTCAAATGATGGGCCATGCCCTCTTCCAAGGGGAGATAATTAAGAATTGGTGAAAATTTTGTGTCATCTTTTAAAAATCTTCTCAAGAACCATTGGGCCAGAAAAGTTGAAACTTATGTGAAACCTTCATAACATAGTGTAGATTCAAGTTTGGTCAAATCATGACCCCCAGGGGGTAGGATGGGGCCACAATGGGGGATAAAAGTTTTACATAGGAATGTACAGGAAAAATCTTTAAAAATCTTCTTCTCAAGAACAACAAAGCCACAAATACTCATATTGATATGGAATCATCCTCAGGTAGTGTAGATTCAAGTTTGTTCAAAGAATGACCACCCCTGGGGGTAGGATGGGGCTACAATAGGGGATCAAAATTTTACATAAGAATATGTAGGAAAAAAATCTATAAAAATCTTCTCGAGAACAACAAAGCCTTAATTACTCATATTGATATGGAATCATCCTCTGGTCGTGAAGATTCAAGTTTGTTCAAATCATGACCGTCCCCGGGGGTAGGATGGGGCCACATTGGGGGATCAGAGTTTTACATAGGAATATATAGGAAAAATCTTTAAAAAATCTTTTCAAGAACAGGAAAGCTATGATTAATAATACTGATATGGAAGCATCCCCAGGTATTGTAGATTCAAGTTTGTTCAAGGCATCCTCCAGTAGTAGGATGGGGTCATAATGGGGTATCAAAGTTTTACAAAAGAACATATGTATGAAATTTCTTAAAATATCTTCTTCTCAAGAACAGCAAAGCCATGATTAGTCATATTGATATGGAAGCATCCTCAGGTAGTGTAGATTCAAGTTTGTTCAAAGTATGACCCCCCCCCCCCCCCCCCCCCCCCCGCCCCCCGGTAGGGTAGCAGGCATCTTTAAAATTCCGTTTTCAAGAACAGCAAAGCCATGATTAGTTATTTGAATATAGAAACATCCTCAGAAAGTTAAGGTTCAATTTCATTCAAAACTTGGGACCTGGGGGTAGGGTATGCCTAGAAGGCGTTCAAAACTTTACATATGAATATATAGGAGAAGAAATCTGCTGACGAAGAACAGCAGGGCCATATTGACTCAGGTGAGCATTGTGGCCCATGGGCCTCTTAATGATTTTGATGAACGGTTTTGTCATGGTTACTAAAAATAGAAATTTATGTGAAATTCATTGAAAACACCACTCCTCCTAGAGTTTTGGTCTGATTTCAATATAACTTGGCACAGAAGTAGACTACACTAAGATATGTAACTTAGTTCATCGGTTGTTGCCATGGTTACTAAAATGAGAAATTTCTGTGAAATTCCTTTAAAACGCTACTCCTCTTGTTGTTTTGGTCTGATTTCAAAATTACTTGGCACAGAAGTAGACTACACTGAGATACATAATTCTGTTTATCGGTTTTTGATTTTGGTGAAGTGTTGCCATGGTTACTAAAAATACAAATTTCTGTGAAATACATTCAAAATGCTGTTTTTTGTTGTTTTTTTTTTTTTTTTTTTTTTTTTTTTTTTTTATAGTTTTGCTTTAATTTCAATGTAACGTGGCATGCAAGTAGACTACACTGAGATACATAGTTGTCTTTATCATTTTTTTTTATTTTTTTGATGAATGATGTTGCCATGGTTACTAAAATCAAAATTTCTGTTAAAATCTTTTGACAGGTTACTCTCCCTTCAGTTTTAGTCTGATTGCAATAAATCTTGCCACAAGAAGAGACTAAACCAAGGACCATTACTCTATTTATTGCTGTTGCAAAGTTTCAAGTCCAAGTGCTACTTTCCTTTTCCTTTGTTATAAGTACAAACCAGTAAAGCTACAGTCTCGTCAGAGACTTCTGGTTTAAAAATACAGTAAACAAAGCTCTAGATGGGCATTTGTAAAACTAACAAAACCAGTGAAGAAATATATGATGTATGATTTGTTCTAATTGATAACTACACCATAAGAGATGCACATCAAACATTAGGAATGGAAAAATCATTCTATCTTTATACCAAGGTTGAAGTGAGTTTCTTCTTTGCACTGTAAACTTTTTATGATAAATGAACAATATTTGACAGGTGTATCATATGCTGTGGCAGTGCATTTTGTTTAGCTGCATATAAAATTTTAACTTTTCTCTTTTTCAGTATGATGGTATCATTCTTCCTGGAAAGTAAAGACTGTGTACCTAAAAAAAATAAATTCAGGTCATAGGATGGGTTGTTTTATTTTTAGAACTTGAAGAGCATGTCTTTGAGAAAACCATGCAAAATGTGGTGGAAGCAGGGTTCTGTGATCAACATTATGTATTATATGTAACAAATAATTTCCTGTAAAAAAATTGTTCGCACTAAATTGGGTTCTGCTGCAGTGATACTGAAAATAGCATTTTTAGCTCACCTGAACTGAAAGCACGATTGAGCTTTTCTGATCACCTGTTGTCTATCCATCCATCTGTCCGTCTGTAAACTTTTCACATTTTCAACTTCTTCTCAAGAACCACTAGGGCAATTTTAACCAAAGTTGGTACAAAGCATCCTTTGGTGAAGGGGAATGTAAATTTTTAAAATGAAGTGCCTAACCCCTTTACAAGGGGAGATAATCAAGAAGAGACGCAAATAGGGTGGGGTCATTAAAAAATCTTCTTTTCAAGAACAACTGGGCCAAAAAAGCTGAAACTTAAGTGGAAGCATCCTGGGGTAGTGTAGATTTAAAAATTTTCAAAGCATGACCATGGGGTGCATGTGTAGGGTGGGGCAACAATAGAAAATCCAAGTTTTACATTGAAATATTTAGGAAAATGATCTTCGTGTCTTTATTTTCCAAAATAAGAATCAACAGAATCATATACTGATAAAAGTTTTTCCATGCTGGGGAGCAATACGTGAAATGTTGCACTCCTGACATTATTGGGTATGCACAGATACCTGACTCACATTTTAAAGTTTTAAATTGTATATCAGTTATTGTTTTACACTTTGAAAATTCTTTTTTGACTTAATTGTCTTTCAGATTTTAGAAATCGCTGATTTTTTGGCAACACTACATTTTTTCTGTTGCACTCCTGACATGGTATGACATTTTTTTCAACATCAGCCATGGCCACAACTTGGTCACACAAATGTTGCTACAGTCTACATGTAAAGCCCAATACTTTGAATATTATCAGAAAAGTATTTATTTCCAACATAAACCATTATTATTTATTTCACAGATCTTCAAAAAATAATGAATTTTCAAAATGTCACAGAAAAGGTGTTGCACTCCTGACATTTTTAGCATCATTTTTGGGCATAACTTTTATGTGAATTGAGGTATCAATGAGATATTTGTCAGGTGTTTAGACACTATTCAATGACATATGCTGGTATATAGAAATTTATTCCGATTGCCTGCATTTTTAGTGCAGATTGATAAATATGAATTTGGTCATTTTTTTTAAAATTCACCCTTTAGTGCCTTTTATCAAGAATGTACATGCGTAAAAAATAGATAATTAAAAGAAAATACACAAGACCTTATAAAAAAAAAATAGAGAGGGTATGCAATGTTTTGTAGATGAATATGGAATTTATTTCACGAGTGGGACAGGATTTTTTTTAATATTTTCACGAGTGCAAAGCACGAGTGAAAATATAAAAAAATCCTGTCTCACGAGTGAAATAAATTCCATATTCATCTACAAAACATTAAATTATCTGTTTATTGCATTTTCTTAGATTTTCCCTTTGCCTCTGTCTTTTCGGAACATGTCATAGGCTGTGACGTCATAGTTGAGCGGTTGAGACGTCATAGCTAAGCGATTGCAAGATTGAAAAACGTTGTAAACATGGATTTTTAACGACATATTTGGGAAAACTTTGGCGGGATAACAATAAAGAACAACAAGCCAGGGATTGTTTTGAAAAACATTCTTCCTGAAGGGAAGGAAAATCGTAAGTTTTGCCGCACTTCTGATATTCTCGCTCTGTGAGAATACCATTTTGATACCCTTTCACACTGTTTCAGAATAGCACTTTTATTCAGTATATAAATAGAGGGTATTCAATGTTTTGTAGCTGGATATGGAATTTATTTCAAGAGTGGGACAGGATTTTTTTTAATATTTTCACCAGTGCGAAGCACGAGTGAAAATATAGAAAAATCCTGTCTCACGAGTGAAATAAATTCCTTATCCAGCTACAAAACATTGAATTTTCTGTTTATTACATTTTCTATGATTTTTCTTTTGCTCTGTCTTTTCTTAACACGGTGCCATAGGGTGTGACGTCATAGTTGAGCGGTTGAGACGTCATAGCTTAGCAATTGTGAGAATGAAAACATTGAAACATGGATTTTAACAATATATTTGGGAAGAAAGTGGCAGTTTTAGTCTCTATCAAGACGGTTTAGTTAATATATCTTATGACAGACCAGAATTTTTTTTTTATCTTTGACATCCTTTCACACTGAGAGAATATCATTTTGGTATCCTTTCACACTGTGAGAGAATATCACTTTTATTCAACAAATAAATCACAGTATTTCACTGTTGAAAATGTAATAAATTACAGTATTTCAGTGTTCAAAATGTAATGAAAAATAGTCTATAAAAAGACAAGAATTTGAAAGTGTGGCACCAGGTGGATTCGAACCACGACTCAAAAAAGTGTCTTTGGTGCCTATACCCAGCTGTTTTACCGATCTAGCTATTCTGGATTTGAAAATGGTGTGTATAAATGCGAACTTGGTTTTTTAGTCGGCTCACAGAGCGACTGATAGGTATCACAACTGTAACTAAGTGTAAAAATTATTGCAGCCCGGAGGACCGGGCTGCTCTATACATATAAGTTTAAGTGTTGGTATATGGGGATTGAGGTGGGAGAAGTTATTCAAAATTAAAGGTTTTCTAAACATTAAAAAGATTGTTAATCAGAATGTTCTTTCCCTTTATAAATTACGAGATACACAATATATTTACTTCCATAAAGTGAATCTGTAAAAATATATATGTTTTCCATATTTAATATATAAAGTTGCTTATCATTTACTATCGAAAAAACGACAGGTCCCTTTTTTTAGAGCATCGAATTTTACTTATCGCATAAAAACGTTAAAACGTACTTTACACAGTTCGTGTTTTATAATCTTAAAATGAAAAACATTTTTGAAAATACGTGATGCATGTGTCTGGTTTCAAATTATATTTTATGTAGCCAACATTTACTTGAGGAATTGATAAAGTTTAAAAGGGTATCGTTTTTGTTCGATTTTCATCCGACTATAAGTTTTCAAAATATTCTCTACTATCGTCTCCATCATTTAGACGCATGCCTTTTTCACACATATCGAAGCGGTTTGATGATCAAGACTCATTTCCATTGTTTACTTTATTTATTTCCCGGGCGACAATTGATGGTTACATCAATGTTTTCTTGTCACTCATTCATCTAGGTTATTCATAAACCAAATAAGATAGTTCTAGCAAAAAAAATGCTTTTGTTTGAGTGATTGCTTAAACTAGGAGGTATAAACAGTATAAAATTTCATATTGTAACATATTGTAACATTATTTATGTCTTCAGTTTTTTAAAAGAAAAATTCGATTAAATATCTGTACAATGCATGCACAAATACTGCGTATGAATATACTAGTATGTGCAAGCATGTTAGGCGGATCTAATCTTACCATCTGAAGTTTATTTATCATTGACTTAGAATACTCCCTAACACACACACCTGCTGTTCTCATCCACTGCAGCTAGTGATACTTTGACTCCCTTTTTAACATGATTTTCCTTTTTTCCCTTTTTATTTCACTTTATTGTATTTTTTTCTTAATAGAACACTGAGATCTAGTAAGATTTATGATAATTATAATAACAAAATACTGAAGAGAAGTTTTTTTAAAGAACTCATTTGACTTAAAAAGGTGGGAGATATTAAAACCCTTCTCCTTTATTTACTTTGGGGGGGGGGGGGGGGGTAATTGAGACCCGTTCAAATTTAAACAGTTGTATTTGGATCCCTATTCAAAATGTTATTTTTGTCACATTGTGTATTTACAAACCCAAACTTTGAATAAATTTAAAAAAATCTCATGTGAGATGGGATTGATTTGAAGCCCTTAATTTTTAAACCAATCATGGAGACCTGATATTCAATTTCTTAAGATGCAATAAAAACAATATAAGGCATGGTGACATTTTGTATGAAAAAGCTCCAACTCGAGCGAGTCGACTCTCAGGCCCTTCAGGCCTTTGATTAAAAACAGGTTTTTTGGGTTTTTTTTTTTTTTTTTTTGTGAATTTCGACCCTAGGGCAGGGGTGCCCCTAAAAATTCCTTTCTTAAATTATTTCTTTCATCACAACCTATCAAAATATCATTATGATATTTTATTGAGGGGCAGGCCTGCCCTGAAAGACTTCTAGGCCAAAATTCGTGCAAAAATCTGCCCTAACGGACAAAATGCTGTTTTGGCCAACTTTCGAGATTAATTTTTAAGTTGTAAATAATAAATTTTAGGTTCAGAATACAAAATTGAAAAATTTAGACATATATACGTTAGTTAACAACTAATGAACATTCATTTTTAAAAATGACTTTTTCCGGGAAATTGTTCTCTCCTTTAGGTCATTTTTTTTTCAGGTAGTGAATACATCCTTTGGCATATTTCCAGATAAAATATATTACGATTTTTTACCTTGAAGCTTGACACTGCTAAAAAATATTAACATTGGTGATAACTTTTGAAGAGAAGATAGGGTGTTTATATTTGACATGTGCATTCCCTGTTTTAAGGCCTTTCCGAATATACTTTTGTTTTTGACCTCTTGACCTTGAAGATTAATCTATAGCACTTTTCAAAACTTTTAACATTGGTCATAACTTTTTGAATAAGAGAATTTAAGACTTTAATATTTGATATGTACGTTACCTGTGATAACACCTTTCAGAAAGACCTATCAATTTTTATTTCATGACTCTCACAGAGAAGTCCGTCGTCGTGCGTTAACATTTGAACATTTTTAGCTTCTTTTTTGAAACTGCTCAACCAATTTCAACCAATTTTGGCCTATAGCATCTTTGGGTGAAGGGCAACAAAATTTGTGAATTTCATGGTCCCTACCCCCTGGGGCCTGAAGGGTGGGGCAAAACCACTAAAATTAATGCAATCTTTAAAAAATCTTTTTCTTTACTCCTGGACATCAAGCAGTC